TATTTTGGATACTGATTTAATCTTAAGAACATACTTCTAATGATGATCCATCTATAAGAAAAATGATTAATGTATTAAAATAATTTCTTCACTTTGAATCTTAATTCCAGGGTAATTCGAATATAAGGTTTCATAATTAATTATATTTTTATAAATTGTACAAATATTTTTAGCATAATATGTACAATAAGGACAATGTCATTAATCACCTAATTTTTTTTATTAAGAGCCTCCATCCTTTTTTATATACAATTTTTTATTGTTTTTTTTTTTATATATAAATTAAAATTTTTTTTTTATTTCCTTCCCTTAAAAAATCAGGTGATTTTTGTCACCCCCCAACAATTTTTTAAATACAACATAGCGATAGCCTTTGTTTCTGGCTTAGCACAACTATGTCATGTAGCTACTCAATTTAACATGCCGAAGTGTTAGTCAATTTCGGATTCTCATGATCCAACTTAAGTTCTGATTCTTCTTTAAAATCAGAGTTTGACATCGGAAGGTTACCAATTGCTTTATATAAAAGCCCCCTATAATGATATGTTTCCGACATAAGTGTTCGTTGATATTTGCTTTTTTGAGAATGAGATTTACCTTTTGAAGATTGAAATAAGCTAATAGCGCTATCTAGTTCTTTTAAAGATGTGTTGTAATCATTTTGTTTATATAAAAGTGCACCAAGTTGACAATGCCAATATGATTCTTCTGGTTTTTGATCAATTGCATCTTTTAAATCGGATTTGCTTTGTTCAAACAATCCAAGTTTAAAATTAATTGCACCACGAAATCCAATACAATGATTATATAGATCATTTTGTTTGGAATTTAAAGATTTTAAAGATTTTAAAGATTTTAATATTTCTTCAAAATCTGATAGTGCTTGCTCATAATTTCTCATCATATATAAGGAAATTCCGCGATGTTGCAATGCAAACTTATCATTAGGATCAATATCTAAAGACTTATTTAAATCTTCGAGCGCCTCATCATATTTACCCATCATGCGATATGTCGCTCCACGATTTCTTAATGCAAATGTATTATTTGGCTGAATGTTTAATGATTTATTTAAATCCACAAGTGCTTCTTCTAACCTTCCTAGCATACGAAATACCG